ATTATTAGTAAAGGTGAACATTATTTAGTTTAAGCCTAACTGAATTTGAGCTAATTTTTTTATTTTGGCTCAATTTTTAAAATTTTTTATTCTATTTTAATCGAAAATTGAATAGAATGCGTATATAAATGCACATGTGTATGTGTATATATATGTGTGTGCGTGCGCGTGCGTGTGTATGTGTGCGCGCGTGCCCGTTCGTGTTCTTGCGCGGGCAAAGCTCGCTCACATCTAGATACCTATATATTATGTAACATTAACATGAAAGACTAAAACAAATGAAGTGTTTACTATTTATTAGTCATCCATTTTACTATTCACTTACTAACCATCCAAGATGCATAAGATTTATTCACTTAGCATTATTGTGATTTTTGGCTTTTATTTAAGCTTTTATATACATCCACAAAGCTCGCTCGCATCTAGATACCTATATATTATGTAACGTTAACATGAAAAACTAAAACAAATGAAGTGTTTACTAATTATTATTTATCCATTTTATTGTTCACGTACTAACCATCAACATGCATAAGATTCATTCACTTTGCATTATTGTGATTTTCGACTTTTATTTTGGCATTCAATATAGTATTTTTGTTATTTTTTGTTTTTGTTCGGGTATTTAATATGCAAGTTTTGACAAATATTACATTTTGATCTCTAATTTTTTTTAAAATATTTTTTTTTATTTCTAACTTCATTTATATTGTTATTTGGTTGCTAGATGTAGATAGAAATGAGGAGGGAGAAGGGAAGAGAAAGAAATCCACGACGAGCGTTATTCCTACTACTTTGACGGTTAATCTTTGCCTTTATTTGTTCCTATTGAAAATATAAATTTGCTTATGGTGGTCTTAAAACATTAATAGCCAGAGGCAGCAGATAGAGAACTCAAAATATTTTTCAGTTATTGAATTTGATTTGGATATTTAAGTTTTTTAGGTGTATTAAATGATTTTCTGCAAGATTTCAAGCGATCATAGCTTCGTCGGATGTTATCAGAGATGCATTGTCCACCATTTCACTTTCTTTTTTAAAGGGTTGGCCCACACGTGTTCAGTCCGTGCACACATGGGTCTAGTTCTCCAAGCCAAGGGTGCATGTAGCACAAACAGACCCAACTTTTTTCCTCCCTTTTTTTGGGTTCATTTTTTTTTATCATTTGATTTTATGCTTAAATTTTGAAAAAACTCATAATTATTTTTTCATTTTCCATAACTTGGCGACGATTAAATATCAATGATGTGTTTTCATGTTGTACAATATTTCAAATTATATTATATTTATTATTTGAAATTTATCATTTCTTATGAAAGTTCTCATCCAATAATTTTTTTTTATTTGTTAAATTTTAATTATTTAAAAATATAATTTATTTTTTTCTATATCTAGATTTTAAAATAAAATTTTATGAACATTGATCAGTTTCTTTTACTAAAAAAGATATAATTTATATGATTTGGATTCTTATCATTTTTAAATGAGATTATCATAATTGTAAATATATATGTTTGACCTAAGAGTTGAAAATGTGTTGTAGAAATTTTTTCAGGTGTTTAAAAAAATAATTAATTGATAATTTAAAATAAGATGCCAAAAAAGAAAAAGAAAGTGATTGTGATAATTGCAAAGCTTGTGCACAGAAACCAAATATGAATAGTTCAAGAACAAAAATATATGTTAAGAAAGAGAAAAATAAATATACGAGTGTTATCTACTTCTTTTTATATAATAAAAATCTATTAAAATCAATTTTATAAGAGTTTTTATTAGAAATAAACTATGTGCTTGCACACAAAATACTAGACATTTACTATTTTTTAATGGATATTTTGAAATTAATTTTATATTTTGAAATTAATTTTTCTCAAATAAAATAACACAATTTATATTTAAAAAAAAACACGGGATGGTACCATGCTTATCAAATAGAGTTTTTTTTTAATATATATATACACACACTGTATATATTTTCAAAAATTAATCTTCTTATCAATATTCAATAAGGATAAAAAATTATTTGAATTTTTATGCAATATTTTTTACATTAGTTGTTTATTTATTTATTTTTATTTTTGTTGTTGCAATCTTTTGAAAAAAAAAGAATTTGTACGTTAATTTTTCTTTTTGATTAATTAAAACTTCCTTTTTACATTATTATAATTTTTTATTTAAGAATTCATACATAAAGAAAAAGAAATTATTTTTTAAAGAAGAAAATCTATAAAAAGAACATAAGAAAGAATTAATTAAGCACCAAATTTAGATTTAAAAATAATAAAATTAGGTAAAAAAATGTTTTTTTTTATTTCAATAGGTTTTGTTAGATTAGTAGCACGTCGAGAATCATCGAAATAAAATGATTTTTTTGAAATAATTTCATCCATTTTTTTAGATGCATACTGTAGTACTGACAATCGGTTAGTTAATAAACCATAAAACTACACTATTAGTTAAACTTTTTATTTATTTTTAAATAAATTCAATTAATGATTTATGGGTTATATTATTTGACTTGAGTGTTTGATGTTGTGTTTGTAATTGATTATAATTTTGAAATGGTATTTTTTTTCAAAATAAACTAATGAATACATAAAAAATTTAATTCACGATAAAAATGGTTGGAAGAACACATGAATTGTAACATTATTTTTCATATTAACAAGATAATTCAGTTTTTCACCAAAATACAAAAAAAAAAAAAAATCGAAAATTTCGAATGCAAAAACAGAAAATAAAAATTCTCATTTTTAATTTTGATTTTTATGGGTTTAATTAACTAAAAATCGAATAGGCGAATGCTCATTCCAAATTATTATTCGATACCCAAGAGGCTCGTACGAAGACATGGCAGCTAACCTAACTCGTTAACAGTTTTTATTAATTAGCATAGAAGTTAGTCACTTAATTGCATACCAAAAAAAGACCAAACCCATTAAAAGCCGACCCAATCTGAGGGTGCAGCAGTCAGCACATGGGTTCGCGCATTTGTCTAAACATTATAATTTGCCAAAACTATGTCCGGGGTGGCTCGATTTGCCTCATGCAGAATCACTGAACCGTGACCACCTGACAGGCTGACACCCTCCACTACCATCCCACACAGCCCCCTATTTAAAGCTCTGACACACCTTATCTGTCAAGTCCTTCAACAATTCATTGTAATTCACTTTTCCTCAATGTCGAAAAAGGTTGTATGCTATTTTTAACCATCTTTACCTCATGGAAGGTACGCTACAATTTGAGTAACAATTAATTATGTTCCCATATTGTCCTCTAGGGTTCTAAATGCACCCATTATACAGTGTAAGGGTAAATTTAAACGTGCCCTCACCAATTTGAATTCCTACTATGCAAATATGTGAGAGTTAAAATTAACGAAAAAAAAAAAGTAAAAAATATTTTCTTATTAAAACAAATTTGATAAACTTGAAAGAATTTGTTTATTAAAAAATTTTTAAATCTCACCGACTTCAATACTCATTTAACATCATTATTTTTTCTTTTATTAATATTATAGTTAAATAAAAATTAAAATTAAAATTAATTTAACTCTTTTTAAAAATTTTTTAATCAAAACTTTCATCAATGTGATCTTTCTCAATTATCATATTCTTATTTTCTTGATATTGTTATCATATAACACTTTTTGATATGTACAAAATAATTACGCCCTAACCGATTTCAAAATGATCTTAAGCTCAATCTAGCATTCTATATATATATATATTAGTTCAAGATTTAATTGAAAATTGGATAAAAAATTTAAATATAATATTCTAGTGAGAAAATATTAGAGAGACAACGGTTGTTTGGCTCATATATTTTATTAAAAAATATTTTGTATCATATTTGTTCTTATCTTAATTTTATTGTTATTTTCAAATAAATTTTAGATAGTATTGATAAAAATTATTCTTTATCATATCTGTATTGTTGTAAAAAAAAATGTTTTGTTTTAATGATTTGTTCATTCTTATCTTTTCAATTATATTAAAATATTTCATAAATTTTGAACTTAAAATTTATATATAATGCATAAATTAATGCATTTATGTTACCGAGCTATTATTTATTACTCTATATGCAACAATGAGGAAAAAATGGCTTCTAAGGCACCAGAGTATATACCAACTCACAAACTGACTTGAAAAGACCAAAGAAAATTATGAATTAATCTTCTATTTTTAAGAAACAAAATAATTAGTTTTTTAAAGAAAACTAATTATTTAATTTATTATTTAACATTAACCATATTTAATTTAATATTTTTTATTTTAAAAATTTTTATTTTTTTCTAATTTATCTTCCAATATTTTTTTACTATTTTTTATTTCTTAAAATAAAAAATCTATTAAATTGAAAAGAAATGAAAAAAATTAGATTATAAGAAAAATTAAAAATATAGAAACTAAATAATTATTTTTGAAAAAAAATACTAATTAAATCGTTTTTTTTAAAATAAAACTACTAGTTTATTATTTACCCGAGAACACAATCATTTAACCCAAAAAAAAAAAAAAAAAAAACTAAAGCACTAAAGAAAATGAATGAACCACTAGTCCCAAAATATCCCAAAAGCTGCAATGAATGTATTAAAAAATTAGGTTTTTTTTTTTTAATTGGGGTTTTCTCATTTCCGTAGATTCAATTCCATCATCAATATTTACAGTACCTAATGCATCATTCTGTCATTATCTTCCCAAAAAACAAACCTCTCTATTATATCTATATACACCCCGTTTAGCCAATCAATCATAATCAGCCAAGTCATGAAGCAAGTGAGAGGACCACAAAAAATCTCCAGTGATCTAAAACTCTGCTCCAGATGGAATCCACACCACAGCCTATAAAAATTCAATCGAAGTAAACAAGGAAATCCAGCTGTGCTCCATTATGTTTGTTTCTTACATGCAAGCGCATCCTCGTTGGGAAAAGCAGACCTCCTTAGCTGGCACTTTGGTCCCAGAAATCAGTACTATCCACGTGTCCTCCTACTATTGCTCCGAAAGCCTTACTGTTCTGTACGACCTGTCCAGTTTCTGTGCCAAGGCGTACAGCACCTGCCACGTGGCATCTCCATCTAGTACTTGATCATGGAAAAGTAGGGCCCGCCGAACATCAGGGTCCCATAAGTTTCTCTGAATGGAGGACAAATTGGTGGCTGCCACGTGTTCAAGTATAGTTCCTAGATTAGCCACATCCTTTTCGGCCACCGTTAGAGATATATCCGACCACTGGACAGCGGTGGGGAAGGGCAACCGGATGCCGTCCGCAATTACGACCGGCACGCACCCTAATGCAACAGATTCCACCAGCCTTGGGCTCCATGGGGCCCACCCCAATGGGCACAAACAGAACACTGATCGAACAATTTCTGACTGGTAACCGGCAAACCTATGCCTTTGCAAATAAAACCTCCGGTCACCGCTGTATTTCCTCCATATCACCGTCCTCACCTTCCTGAAACAAATTCAAAAAAAATAACGTCAGCGGAAAAAAAATGTATCAAGGGCAGTTCAGTAATTATGTAATTTAAAAAAAAATGGTTGATCAGGAGACTGATTAATATTTTACTTGCTGTAATATCGACCACTAATGTTTTTGGGGTGGACTTCCATTTTGCCTCTAAAGAAGGCCCAAATGTCCCGCCGGCCGGTCAATGGATACTTCTGAAGGGTTGCCTGTACACTTTGCGGGGAGATATACGGTGGTATGACGACATTCTCAACGTCTTGACATGGATGGTCAAATTTGACCCCAAAAGTCTGCAATATAATTGACCTCTTCAAAAATTCTGGTATCCCATCTTCCACAGCTCTCTCCTCCTTAAGAAAAACACAAGAAATAACCAAAATCCAAATCAGTAAACACATCAAAATCTGGTCTAAACAACAAAGCTTGAAACTTTTGATTGTTTTCAAATGTCTTTTAAACATACCATAGCGTGGAAACAAGCGCCATAATCGTGAGATGCAACAAAGACATGATCAGACCCTTGAGAGCGGTTCCAAAATGGATAGTTAGAGGAAATAAGTTGAACTGCAGAGGATATCAAGGACCTTGCATGACCAATTGCAGGGAACCCATTAACGGTGCTGAAATTGCAGGACACGTAAACAGGGACAAAGAAGAAATCAGCTTCATACGGGTCAAATGTCCGTACATCAAGACTGTTTGATAGAGCTTTATGAATGGCAACTTCTGATGCAAACAGATGGTTGCTGCATCTCTCATTTTTTAGCCAGTCCGTGTTGTATTTTGATGGCAATTCATATATGTATATCTTCAAATCCTTTAACAGCCCTGTAATTATATAAAAAACAGCAGCAGAGAAACCAAAAAAAAAAAGAATGATTGGTCTAAAAAAATTATATGAGGTACTGTTTAATAGTGATAATGATAATCACAATCACACACCTTGATTGATGTTCTGGTTTAGTTGAAGGAAAGTGGAGTTGGAGGATTCAAAAAGGGCACGAGAAACAACAGTTTCGGATTTGGAGACATGGGTTTTAGAGAGGGGAATAGGTTTGTGGGTGATGAAGTAAGAGCTAAAGAAATAAAGAGAGAGAGAGAACCAGAGAACCCATTTGTAATATTTGAAACACAGATTCTTCTTCTCTTGATGTTGATGTCCACCATGTTTGTGTAATAATTTCATTCTAACATAAAACCCCCTCCTGTTGTTGTTGTGGCTGCTGCTGCTCATGGTGGGTCTTTTGAACTCCAGTACCATATCTCATTTAAAACCCACAAACATAAAAGCATGAAACAGAAGTTTTCTGGAACATCATCAGCGGGTTTTAGGAAGCAGGTATGGTGGGGTTTTCATTCTTGGTCATTGGGTAATGAAGTGGAGATTAAGGGATAATGATTGGATGCGTGAAGATTTGTTGGCATTTCGTTTTTACACCAACAACAAGCAATGACATAATTTAGAATGCTTGGACCATTTTTTTTCCCTTGGGGCTAATAATTGTTAGATTTTTTAATGGGTTTTGGCTAAGTTCTGGTTCTATCAGAAACGAATGAAAAATAAATGTCGTTGCAGCTGTAGAGAGAGCGAGAGAGAGAGGTACAGGAAGGTCACATGGTGGTGATGGAGCAGAATGAAACAAGGCGGAGGTATCGGTTTCTATGCTTGTCTTGGTCCTATCAGAGTTTTTGAAAACTCAATTGGCTAAAATTGTCTCTAAGAATTTTCATAATCTTTCAACTAGTTGCTGTATTAATTAATGAAGGGTAAAAAGTACTGCTCAGCCTCGTATTCCTAGATTAGCTTGTCTTAAACCTAAGTTAATTAATGAAGAATTAATTACTAGAAAAGGAGGTGCACGTGGGTCCAAGCCTATGGAGATCCGCTTAAATATGGAAACAAATTATTACAGCTTTAGTTTTTCATTTCAGATGTTTTTTGTTTTTTTTTTGATAAATCTGAAAGTAGAGATAAAAGATGCAGAATTCATAAAATAAAACTAACACCACATTAATATGATCCACTAACTAAGTCACGAGACAGAACTTGCTCCCCAGGCTCAAATAAAGTCATAGAAACTGCAGCCAATTAATATTATATCTTGTTGACTTAAGACAACCTAAATTCCAAAGACATGCGTTGCTTTCTTTTTGTTTTGTTTTCGAAGTAGAAAATCTTTTTCCCAACTGAGCTTCCTAAAGATAAAAGTAAGTGGCTTAATCAAACTTACAATCGTACCCTCACTCCACTTTGTTACAATAAAAGCTTAGAAATCTATTCTGATAAACTCCATCCACGTAAATATATGATCTCTTTATAAAATCAATGACCAAACTTGAATTAAAAACTTCGGATTGAAAGAAACTTCCTTTTTTGTTATTTGAGCCAACCTCATGGGCGTTTAATGGACCAATTCGATGATTAAGTGGTGAATTTTACCCGGACAATGACATAGTTGATGGCAAAAAAAATTTGGACTAAGGACATGGTCTGACTTGGTCGTCCTGTGTTTGATTAATTAAAGTCCCGTGCACGGCAAGAATAGTGGGGTTTTTATCAAAATGGAATTGAAAATTAGCCTGCCGTCAACTTGCTTCACCAATCGAACACTGCCTTTTTTGAACAACTGAAATTCCATTCCCCGATTCAAACTTTAAAGCAAATATTTTAAAAATTTATTAAAATTTATCTAAATATACTATATTGACATAGAGAATTCCAAAGGAAGTCTGAGATCGTTAAAAAAAAAATTCAATTGACATCTAAATTACTTCAAAAATACTCTTGCTGAATAAAAAAATAAAAGAGTCTATTATATGCATCTAATCTACAGTAACATCACACTGGCCCATAATCTTTGTTTTTTCTTCTCTGCATAAGATGCATGACGTTAAGAGCTTTATATTTATAGATTTGGTCACAAGGAATTATTAAGTAAGTTACTTGTAAGAGCTGCAAAGCCACAAACAATTATGACGTTGGTGAGTTTGATAAACGTTATCATCATCCTCTGTCTCCTTTTTCATTTGACGTGTTGGCACTTGGCAGGCATACTTGTTAGGTCAGTATAGGGTTTAAGAGAATTTAGTGGAATTTTAGCCGCAATATACCAGAATAACTGTCCATGCAATAGGGTGATGGGGGACCCAAGATTTATGGTTTAAGGGGAACTTTTCTGCTTCTCTTAGTGTCTAAGCAACTGCAAACTCAAATTAACAAAATTTCAATGTCATTTGGGAAACATTTTGACAATGTTGTATTAAATGATGTCTCATAACCATTGTTCTGATCTCATAATTATTTTAGATTTTTTTTTTTGCAAATTTCTTTTTATTTACATAGTAAAGATTTTTCATAAATATTTTTATATAGTCATTATTAGTTTTTTTTTTCTGGTTTAATCATGTCTATCATTTTGTCACAAAAAAGGAAAAAAGAATGAAACAAAAAAATAAGAAAATGAATATATATATTCAATTTTTTATTAAGGGTTTTAATTGTAATTATCTTCAAAGTATCATGGATCAATTCACAAATGTCAAAAATTTTAGGGTAACAATTAAAAAGAATTAAGGGCTAGCCCGTAGGAATTAGGACTAAAAGGACTGAAACGATCTAAATGGAGGGCCTCGATTGAAGATAATTAAAACATGAAAGGATAAAAATTGAAAGAAAGTGCGGATGACATGATGAACTCAAATAGGTTTTAGCGATGGAACAGAAAATCGTCATTAAAACCATGAAACAGCTGATGGTTTTCATAAAATCGTTGCTATTCCCTTCTAAAAATTGGGTTTTTAGCAATATTTTATAAACCGTCACTAATTTGATCATCCATGACCTTTTTAGCATCGGTTTTAAATAAACAGTCGCTAAAAAGACAAATGTTTTTAGGGTTAACGAGGGTTTACCTAAAACTCGTTGAGATGATTAAGTTTTCTAAAAATATACAAATAGTCACCTTGTCAAGATTACTAATCATTCAAATATTTAGGTAATCACCATGTCAAGATGAATAATTTTTTCATAAAACACGTAAGTGGTTGCTTTGTCAAGATGACTAATCATTTAAAAATTTTCGGATAGTCCTCATGTCGAAATAACCGATCTCTCTATTTGAAGAAAATTGTTCAAAAGAAAAAAAAAGGTCATATTTCAGCCGCACTAACATCTCAAGAGAATTCGTGTGTGTGTGTGTGTATTATTTTATATTTTTGGTTTTTCAAATGTTCCCCCTCATGAGGGTTCGTATATTTGATGAATTTTCTTCACTCAAGATAGCTCATATATTTGTTATATTTTCTTCATCGTATGAGGGTTCGTATGTTTTATAGACTTTTTCCTTCATCTCGAAAAGGTTAGTAAATTTGATAAATTCTTTTTTTTTTCTCTAAAATCAAATCTCCCTAAAAGGGATCGTATATTTGATTGCTTTGTTTTTCAAAATCAAATCATTTCTAAAAAGATTCGTATATTTGAGTAATTTTTCAAAGTCAAATCTCCCCAAAAAAGATCGTATATTTTATTACTTCATTGCAAGAGAGTTTGTATGTTAGTGTATTTCTTTTCTGAAAATCAAATTATCCTAATATGGTTTGTATATTTCATTTATTTTCCACATCGAATCACTTGTAAGAGGTTAGTATTTTTTATTTTTTCATCCTTATTTTTTCTTTATCACATCTCTTCTTTATAAGCTCATTGAGTTAAAGATGTACAAAGATTTATCTTTTCACATCTTTCACACGTAAACATTATAAAAGAAGGAAAACTATCATCGCCCTACTTTCACTAAATAAAAATACCAAAAATATCAAAAAGAAAAAAAAAGAACTATACCAAAGTATGTTATAAATGACGTTCTGGATCAAAATTAAAATTTTAAAAACATCATAGATTAAAGTATAAAATTTTGTATAATTTGCATCTAATTACTCAAAAATTACCAAAAAAAAAAAAAAAATTTGTGCTTTAGTCTGCAGTGTAGCTGAGTCTAGTGCTCCAGTCACTGTAACTCACCTCAAATCTTTTATATATATATATATATATATATATATATATACACTTTTAGTAAAGGTCAAGATGTATCAATAGAATAGCCAAAGTCAAGAAGAAACACATGAAAATAAAAGGAACACACACGCGCACAAAGAGAAGCACAAAATTAATTCTTCTTCGTTACTGTATACTAACTACTAGTGAACTACCTTCACCGATTATTACCCACAAAAAAAAAAAACACTAACTTTACCTAAAAGTAAAATTCTACAAAATTGCATGAAATTAATTAAAAATAAAATAAAATAAAATAATGAGCCTCATACCATTCATTGTCAAGCAAGAAAAAAACCGGTAATGGTATGTATGTGATTAATTATTCGGAGGCTGAAACCTAGTTAAATGCCTAAAAATTAATGAACATGGGCACATGTGATTTGCTTATACAATTTCAGTAATGGCACTAGGTGTTTTGTTTTGATGGAAACAAAAGAGGAAGAAATATTAATTTGTGATTTCACAAGCCATATGCCCAAGAAATGAATATGCACCGTTGAGCAATAACTTGTTTGGCAGAGATGTTGCGTTCAATTTCAACTTCAAATCGAAAGTGAGATCGGTGATACATTGAAGGAATCATTCATTTTACAGGCCCCACCATTCTAATTACGTTGACCAAAATCAGCTCATACTTCATTCTTCATTGTTGTATTCTTTAAACCAATCAAAGTGGATGAAGATACATATATACAGTTGGACATCGATCTCATCATGGGTGCAATCATGGAGCTTTCTTTGGAGTTAATAGAAATGAGTCTCCTTATCATGGAGGTTGTCTCGGATGTAATTATAACCTTCCATCCTTTATGGATGGCTTTAATTAGATAGTATCGAATCCTAGAGATAAATTTTGGGGCTATTCGTAGAAGTTATGGACAACTAGGTAAGGAGAAATTTGAGTACCTTGTCCAATTCAAACTAATAGTAAAATGTGGATGCACAGGCATCAAGAAATTGAGTTCATTATAATAACGGGTGGAATCAAGGTTTCAAAATGAGCACCTTTACGTTATTTAACGGATTTTGATATATTCGGATTTGTTATATAGTGCTATAGAGAATCTAAAAAGTTTCACCTAAATAGTGACAATAATAGTAACAATCTTTATTCTTATTATTTAGTGAATATCAGCTATTTTATTATTTAAAAAATATTTTTTTATTTTAAAATAAATTTATTAATTATTGTTAATTTATTTATGATATTGATTATTGTAATTCGTTATTTTATTATAATAATAAGTCATAATCAACAATTGCGATTGTAATTGTTTTTACAACCATGTTCGTTATTTAAAATTATGATTTAAATGTCTTTTTATTATGGATTGCATTTGTGAAGTTATTTAAATTATGACCTAGGTGCATGATGCTAAAAGTGCTTAATAAAAGAAAAAGCACATGAAATTCGTAAGAATTATCACAAGTGTTTAAGATTTGGTTCAGAATATAAAGTGTTTCGAGTTAAAGTCTGCAGTCTGCTCTATGATAGATTATGAATTTCCAGCTATTGTGAGTCAAGTGATTTGAGGCTTATTTTCAAGAAAATAAAGCCTGTCCTCTACAATCCAAGGATTGATGTTACTTACATAAATAATTTAAAACCATAAAAGAATTAATTATAATGATTTAAAAAGATTCGCATATACTCTACAATCTTATGTCTAAAAGAAGAAGAAATGAAAAACAAAAACATCCAGTAACGTTTTCACCTTCATTCCTTTCCCAAGTCACCATAAAGACATGCAAGATTACATTTACTCCCATTGCGATTTGTGAATAACAGTTTTGATTTGATGTCCATGCATATGACGGAATTATCTATGAAAAGATGGCTTTTCCAAATTTTTGGTGAATCCAATCATTATAGTTTCTTTTATATGCAGGGATGTGAAGTATATAGGAACCGGATGATGTTATAATTTTGAAGGAATGATTCGATAATTAGAGAGATTTCTTCTTTTTCTTGACTTTAAAAATTTATATTTTAAGATCAATATTTAAAAGAATTTATTCAAATTCTGTAAATACATTAGATCAATGTAAAAAATGTACCTTTAAAATCGTCTAAAAAAAATTAATTTCAAGTGATATATAAATTAATTTAAAAATATTTTTATGTTCCAAAAAAAAAAAACCAATGGTGACGGTATTGGAAATTAATTTGTTGCAGTAGGCTAGTAGTTGGCAGGTTACTATCCAGCTTAAATTGAAATCATTTATGGGCCCATATAGACAAATCTGGGACCATTGAAATGAGCCCAACAGAATGGAGGAACATGGAGTTCCATTTGCCCTTTCTATTTTTATTATATTCTTCGTCATATACAAAGACCGAACATAACAGAGTATCAAAAATCCTTACATAATTCCCAAGCGTGTAAAGTAGCTAAATTGTAGATACCAAAACATATCGGTCCCAGTGAAATAGCATCCACGCCACCTAATACGTGTCGTTTCAGCAAAAAACATTTAAGTGATTTTTTGTTGTTTTTCAAATTTAGTCCTTGTAATTGACTTGCTTACATTGCTTTGATTTTTAGAGATTTTATAATTGAATAAAATCGAAAAATGAGCTTAGAGATTTTGAGAATGATTTTGAAATGTTTTGACGTAAAAATATTGAAAAGCCAAGAATTTTTAAAGTCATGAGTAGTAGTTTTCCTACTCCGACAAGCCTTTGGCTGCCGAAGCAATTTCAGGCGGGGGACATGTCATCTGGCCTGATGAAATGTCGTCTGCTGGCAATTTTTTTTTTAATACATATAATTTTCTTAGTTTTCACATATTCCTTGAGAGTGATATGCTTGCCAAGCCCAACCATCGGGCATTAACATGCGAACCTCCCTTTTTTTTTTTTTCTTAATTTAATTTCGTTAATTTCAAAGATTAATTTTTATTTATTCTTTTAGAAATTTATAAAATAACTTATGATTCAATTTTTTTCCCTTTGAGTGATACACGCCATCTAGCTATACTGGGTTTTTATTCGAACATTTGAACATAATATTGGGCGTTGAAATACTAGGATCTAACAAGTATATAATTAGAATTTATTATTTTTATATTATAATTGAATTTAATCAAATGAAATGTTCAAAATACATATAAAAATGTTATAATTATATAAAAAAGAACTTTAGAAATAAGTACGGATATTCTAAAATATGAAATTAATGATATTTCATTATGATGTTTATGATTTGAAAAACATACTTGTTAATCATCGTATGTTCATTAAAAATGGTTCATTCCAGTAAATTTAAGTTGTGTAATTTGAGAGTTAGTTTAGTCTTTTCTTTTAAATTCATGCATCAAATATATATATACATATATATTTTAAGTTGTGTGATTTGAGAGTTAGTTTAGTCTTTGCCTTTAAATTCATGCATCAAATATATATATATATATATATAGTTTTTTATTCTAATTAGTTAATATTTTTTATATATTCGGAAAATATTGGTCAGACATAAATATTAAGAACACAAATGAGGTGCGAACTAAAAAATAATTTTTTTTATATTGTTTTTGATAGCATGTTGCCTTATTTGTCGAGATGTAAAGTAAATTTGAAGGTTGAGATGTAAAATTATTTACTGCTCATAAAATTTCATGCGACCTAAAAATAAAAACTTTATATCCATCCCCACAAAATTATAGATACAATCGGTCAATTGATTTGATTGATGATGTTTTGCATTTCATTCTTTCTATCTACCTTTTGTGATATTTCCTAGAATTGATTTTTAGTTAATTTGAACTTTAGAGATAATATCTTAGAGCATCAATAATTTTTATATACATGTCCATAACAATGTGTATATATTTTAAATCGAAACGCTGCTATATAATTTTTTTTTTCATTAAGGTTATTTAACTGCTCCTCGCTTGATTTTTAAAGAAAATATTGGAAAAAAAAAAAAGAAGCAAACCTTTCTAAAAATAGTAAAAAAAAAATCCAAATAATTTGAAAAATCATATAATAGATTTACTTTATCGGTTGCTTCAGATTTAGCAAAAAGAAATTGTATCTGTTGTAAACAAATATGTTTATGTCCGACGGCAACGCGCCGCCATGAAGGAATGCTAATGGTTGTCTAATTATGTACCTGTTTCATTCTGTTTCTTTTAAAGGGAAAATTCATTCTATTTTCTTTTAAAGATTTTAAAGAAGTAAGCATTCTCTTTCTCTTTTTTATTTTCATTTGTAATTGAAAGGAGACAACACAGATATGTCGCATGTCTTACTCTTGTTCAATTCTCTCGAGTCTCGGTTTACATTAAAAAATAATCAAATAACAGTGAATTGATAATTAAATATTAAAAAGAACGAAAATTATATAATTTAGATTATATTTATTCAATCTTTAATATTTTAAATTTAAAATTCACAAATTTCAATGCTGTAAGAGTAAAATTTACCATTAAAACAGAAGTTATGGATGGAAGTATTGGAAAAGGCAAATAAAGATCTCTTTTAAAGGACATTTTCAATCTGGAAAGGTTCGAGACATTAGGGAAGGTTGTCCCTACTGCGGTACAGCTTTGAAGTGAGAGCTGTTCAGGCACATGCTCTCCCATGTGTGAAACAGAGGTGAATTATTGGTTAAAGATTTGTGCAAGTTGCTTTCTGCCAACGAATATGAAACATTTTGCCATGTTTCCATGTGCATCTGTTGAGCAACAAATGCACATAAAAGAATAAAATAAAAAAAAAATCATTGGAAGTAGGGTTTCTTGTTTCCATGAAAATAAAAACCAGCATGAGAAGTATGGGACAGAGTAATCTGTGTGATTGTTCTACAAATTTGCAGGGCCCTGTCGAGGGAGAAAAAAAAAAAAACAGAGCAGTTTCTTGAAGAAAGGAAATAGTTTTTCTTGGATTTGATAATTTATGAGTAAATTAGAAGTTAGTTTCTCTTGTTTAAATAAATAAATAAATAAAATATTTTTTAATTAATTATTTAGTTTTTTATGTTTTAATTTCATCAATATTTCATAATTTTTTTGTTAAATTAGTGATTTTTATTTTTAAATTTTTATTTTTTTGATTTTTGATTGATAAGAGAAAAAAATAGTTGAAGAAGAGAAATAAGGCATTAAGAAAAAACAATTTTTTTAAATGGCTAATCTAAAAAAACTTATGAAATAATTAAATTATTGATAGAATTAAAGGATTAGTTTTTAAAATAAAAAAAATTAATTTATTTTTCAAAATAAGGAGTGCTAATTTATAATTTACTCATATTCTTATAAATTTAAGTACAAATTGAATTTTAAAATAGAAGGGTACAAATTCACCTTGGAGTTGTAAAACCAAGCTCCCCAGCGAGGCCCCTCAGTGTAGGCCTACGTATGCCTAAGCCCCGCGAACCAAGCTCGGCCTCAACCCAACTTCCAGAGAAAAAAAAACAGACGACACGTCGTTTACTCATTTTTCCAACGACTTTTTGATCACGAAAATATTGTAAATCTCTAAATTTTCTCTTCCAAAAGTATATATATGTATTTTAGTTTATTTCATATAAAACACTTTAAAATTACCCTAAAGATCTCGTTAACCGTACATCAAACCTCCATTTTAATATCTTTTTAAACAACAAATCATCAAATCAATTTTTAATATCTATTTCTACGATATACATCAAATCTAATTTTTTTGGTCATTTTTATGCTCCTAAACACCTCTAACCAACTCAGGGACCTAATATCTATCAAATAAAGGTGATAATAGCTTTAGTCAATGTTGAAAAACAATTTTTCGGCCACCTTCTCTCTCATTCTTCGTTTTTCCAACCAAGAGCCTTTTCTAATGATAGACCTTTTTATATATTAACCTATCTATGTGAGAGGTTCAAAAACGCAATTGTGCCAAAAAAAAGGACTAGAGTAAAAATTAAACCAAAACGACGTTTTTTTTTTGCAATCTATGTGCGAAAACGACACTATTTTTGTGGAAGGATTAGTGTTCAAATCCATTACGCTAAGACAAAAAAAAAAAAAAAGGTTTAAAAGTATTATTTAATGAAAAATTTAGCAAGATGGTGCCTTTGGGAAATTTGGCATGAGGGGCATAACTGTGTGTGTGTTCTATAATACGACGCTAATGTTTTTATAAAAAAATATGTTGGAATTAGAAAGACATTGAATTTAACCTTTATTTATTTATTTATTTGACATCAATATATTAAAGCTATCGAAAAAAATCATGCTTAATTTTTCAATCCAAACTTACTTTGAAAATCACTTTCAAATACTGAAAATATTAAATTGTTGAATGGGGTCGAAAATCTTATATTTATACATGTAAAATATAATTATCATGGAGAATATTTGCATTTAGTAAGAAATGTTTGTAGTCACGCTTAGCTTCAACACTGAGAAAGAAATTCAATTCACTCAAATTTATCGTGGAAAATTCCTTTTGGAGTTGGACAACAACAAAAGGTTTTAAAAGATATGTATTATCACTTTTAAAAATAATGTAATCAACATATAACAACAGAATAATAGTTCAAATACAGAGTATCAGTTTGGTTACAATGAAACTATTGCTTAAGAAGGAAATTGCTAAAACGCTACAAGCAGGCCATAAGAGCTTGTTGGAGACAACATATATGATTAGGACAAGAGACATCGACACATTTAATGGTTGTTGCATGTAAAGTTCTTCATTCAGAAGGCCATATTGGAAGACATTTTCAACATCAAGTCATCGAATAGGCTAATTCCTTGATACAGCATCAATCAAAACAATTTGTATGGCTGTAAGTTTCACACTGGGACAAAAAATATCATGAAAGTCTATACTAATTTGTTGGTAGAAGCCTTTGGCGTCAAATCTGGCCTCGCAACATTCAAAGAAACCATTATTTTGTCGTTTTACACGATATTCATTTACGGCCAACAATATTCATAGATTGTTGATGAGAAACCAAGGTCCATGTATTGTTATGGAAAAGTACTTGGAACTCATCCTTCATAATTGCCACCCTTTTAGAATCTTTAGATGCAACTTTAAATATAATTGGTTCTATTAGTACATTTGTGGAAATAGTTATTGTTAAAGCATGAGATATGAGATGTTTTATAAAGAAAAATACCTTGAATTTTTTGTGCCTTCTTGTGCTCTTGTAACCATAATTAAGATGTCGGGTTATAATTAGTTGTTGTGCAGTTGAAGAAGCCTCTACTTTCGAAGACAATGAGTTACAAGTCTCGTTTATTACAATAGAAGAAGAAGCAGTTGCTACTTCATCGTCAGCAATATTTGCGATAAGAAATAGATTATTTAAAGATTTAAATATGGTACAACCATTGTTGTAAATAAGGAGAGCTTGTTTAGTTTGGTATTAAAAGGAATTGTGAAGGATATTTCAAGGCTTTGATAACATGATTAGATTATTGAACGTACATTCCTTACCCTTTTAAGGGTTGGAAATCTTATATTTAAACAAAATCTCAATCAAACTTAAGATTCTGATTTGATTGAGCTTCATTTTCTATATTAAATACAATAGAAATACAACCTACTAAATTCCAAAATCTTTACATTTATCTCAATCTGAATGTTGGAAGCTAATTATACATACTGGTTGTTTCAGGCAGTGGATACATACATGGTTGTGCAAGAAACCAAATAAATTAAAGTTTTAAGTTTTTCTTAACATAAAAGAAAGCATAACCAATTTTCAGCACATGCTATGCTATCAGATTTGTTAAGAAACTGGCTGCCTCCACGTTACAGACATCATTCAAAAAGTTTTACACCCAAACAAAAGTCTTGGTTAAACCAATTATTTTAACTGTTTATATTCACAAATTTGTTATAATTTTTTTTTTATCAATTTCGTAAATTAAGCATTTGTATTTTTTGTTTCAGTCAACTGAGTATAATTTGTTTGAATTGAAAAGAAAAAAAAATTACTCAAAAGAAAAGATGGATGAGTGATGATATTAATAAAAAAAGCAAGAAAAGTTAATACTAAAGTTTTTTGTTTTTTTTTTAACAAAATGATCATATAAACACATAATGCAAATAATAGATTTAACCAAACGTTTCTAACATAGAAATCTGTACTCTATAAAAGACTACTGCTCCAAAATAGCAAGTCAAAGAACATATGGCATTCCGGTAGTTATGATCCAACTCTTGTTGGAAAAATCTGTCTCTATTAATTTGGCTATATATTCTTACTTGGCTAGCTCTTGAAACTTATCAATCTGTCTCTATACCTGCCGCTATTCTCAGCTTGGTAGAAGCAGCATCCATGCGAATCAATTGAATCAGCACATGTTGCAAGCAACTAAATATAACGATTATGCTAGATATATAAATCAAAGGTATAAACCCAATCCAATGCCATCAATTATATATGCTATAAGACTCCTTGTATAAATGGAGGAGAGACCAAATTTAGGTCAGATGTCACCGTGTATATATGTTAATACTCTATTTATAACTAAGGATAGACGAATATCAAACATACATTACGATATAAATAAAAATTACAAAACGGTACAGGACAAACAACCTTTTACGATAAATAGCCATTCATAATGCAAATAACCTTTTGCTATTTAGTTATCCACTAAAAAAACAAAGAAATAGTTTCTTGCCACGATTTTTTATAATTAAAAATTACAATGATTATCAAAATATTACAAAAAAACATTCTTTTATAATTAAAAATACCCTAAATATTAAGAGGAATGATTTTAAAAATATTATAGGTATTTTGAATAAAATTTTTTTATTATTTACTTAACATAAGAGAGCGTGTATCTAATCTTTAAAAAATGAATCGTATAATTTTATAATATCCTAAAGAGTTTTTGTAATTCATCTTTTTGCTTAAACATCGAAGATTTGCATCAATAAAAATTAATTCCTCCAATTGTTAAAAAGGAAAAGGTGTTCACATGTAAGCCCAAAGGATCCCCTAAAGTGCTAGAGCTGTTAAGGGGCTAAGCCCAAAAAAATAATAATTAAAACTAACACTTTGCAAGCCCAAAACAATATGAAATCCAAGGTTAATGCACGACAGTTATTTTGGTGGGAGGGTCCTCCTCCCTCCCCTTATTTGGGTTGGTAAAAGTTGTGTGTGTCCAGTGACAATAATATTCAAGTTAAGTGGATCAAACATTTCCAAAACTTTAAATAATTTCAAATTAAGTTTTTTAACTTCAAATTTTATTTTTAGAATTTCTGAATTTTAACTTTTTTGAAATTTAATCCATCCAAAAATTGTCGGCTATCATCCTCCCTTCTAAAAAAATTTAATTATTGGTATTTGGAGTTGAATTTTTGTACACATGTATGTTGAAAAAAACTCCAATTCATTTTTTTAGAGAAATCTCAAAATTTTTCAAAATAAAAAATTATATTTGTTTATTTTCTAAACATTAAAAATATAAAAAATATAAAGATAAAGAATAATTCGAAATGATCACAATTTTTTAAAAAACTCTATAAAACTTACTAAATGTTTTTCATAATGAAATTATTTATTTGATCGTTGTTTTTCGAAATAAATGACATAAAACTGAAAGAT